CATGAAGATGTAGCAAATAAAAATTGTATGATAAAGTGAATGCAAAACATCAAAGAAATAATCACAGTACAAAAATGAGGAGAATCATGGTGGTGGTGGGGAATTAATACAATTTACTCCAAGTTATAATTTAAGGAAAAATCAGTGTAAAATATTTTACAGATGATAAATAACCCTGCCAATAATTACCAAGATAGTAAATCATATAGCAATAAATGTTGGAAATGCCATAATAAAGAAGGATCACATGTGATAGCTATGTACAAAATCTCTATTAAAACTATTAAGAGTGAAATATGTCAACATATTCAAAAAAATCCTAAAACAAAATTTGAGCTGAAGCCACATTTATTCTTATTAAGCATAATTCCTGAAAATATAAATGAAAAACATCACAATTTACTAAGATACATGCTGACAGTAAGGAGAACAAATCTGGCACAACAGTGGAAAAGGTGAATGATGATATCTATCTTATCCCAGGTAATATTTATCTTTCCAAAATACCTGGGATAAGGAGCTAAACACTACAAAGGCTTCCATTCAAAATTTCTTTATTGGATTATATCAGGCATCCTCAAGGTATAACTCACAGTTACGTTGAGATTCATCTAATGTCCAATCTTTGCATTGTCGTCTTCACAGTGTGAAAAGATAGTTATCTTCATCCCATAAATGATACAGCAAGGGGAGACTGCAACACATTGCTGGGTCCAGGTAAGAATGACCAAACTCCCCCCAACCCAACCAGAGGTCAATTCAGTGACCAATCAGGATTACAGATGTGACCACATGACATGAACTACATCCCCCATGAGGCATTCCCTTAAGGGGACAGCTCTCATTCCCAAACCAGCTATATACTGTTTAACCATCACAATATCAGATTGAGAAGCCAAAACTGGAAAAAAAATGCAGGAATTTCAAAACTGATAATACACAGTATATCTATAAAGCAGGGCAAATTTGGATGTTTAGAATATGTGTTTTTGGGAAAGAGACCAATCAGAATTAATAGATGAAAGGATTTCAGCAGAAACCAGCAGCGATAGTTAATATTTAATGTACAGTTTAAATAACTAAATTATGGTCAGCAGTTGAGAAAATGAATGGCTGAGAAAGGAAAAAATTGTAACTACTGTAGAAAGTTTTCCCATAATATTTTTGTTTAATTTATGCTCAAAAATCGTAGCTTTTTTTTTGTCATTCAACTTTTAGTATTCAATATAGATCTTTTTAACCTTTGTATTTCATTATTTTAATAATACAGTGAAAGTACTGTGCCTTTAAAAATAAAAAAGACAATTCTTTTACCTAATCCCTATCTCCCCTAGCATCCTTATAGTGCTCTGGCCCCTTACCTGGTTATGGGATGGGCTGTTTATGAGACCACACAGAGACCCTTCACACCAATTTTGTTTTGACCTCTTGATCCTCTACTGGTGCATCAGCCCTTATAAGTTGTATATCCCAGTGGAAGCAAAGGATTGTCTATTTGGGGGTGAAACACCTGTTTTTAAATCCATCTGCTTCTTGAATGGCTCTTCCTTGGATCTCAGAATTTGATGTCCTACTATGGAACACTGCTGAAAATTAGATGTGGGCTGTACATTATCTTTAGATATTCACTCCTATAGATTCTAGGGCTAGAGTGTGCCCGAAATCTTCCTTTTTTTTCTTTAAGATTTACTTGCTTCCAATGGTTGTACTGCAAGCCAGTTAAGGACCCACGCTAGAAACTGGGAGAATGTGAGGTCTAGTCCCACCTTAGATACAAATCCAACTGAATTACTTTGAGCCAGTCACTCTTGCTCAGCCCTAGGTTTGATCCAGCGATTAAGTCATCAGTCTAGAAACCAGGAGATTGTAAGTTCTAGTTCCACTTGTATGAAAGCCAGGTGGGTGACTTTGGGCCAGTCGCTCTCTCAGACCATGATATCAGGCTTGGGCGACAAGCCAGTTGGTCAATCCCTGTAGCAATCATGGACAGATACTTGGTTGGTCCCCCCCACAAAAAGTGGACTTTCGTCTGAAGGGAAAATCCCCCCTCCCTGCTCGATCCTAAGAACAAGGCAAGGGCAAATGCTTCTAAAAATCTTGCCAAAGGAAGTTGTGCGGATTAGTCCAGAAGTCAGCACTGACTTGAAGGTTAAATTTAAAAATGCTTCCTGAAGGTCACAGGAAGTAAAGACCAACCAGTCTGGTGAATTCTGCATTGATTTGGATGGAACAATCTCTGATAAGCTGTTCCTGTCATGATGCAATTTACTATGCTATATTCTTCAATGTAGCAGCCTTCCAGGAACTGACCAGAACCCAAAGTTTCTCTAGTTAATAGCTCTGCAAGGCTGTAAGTGACATTCTTTCCAAACTTTTAAAGGCAATGCTTGAATTAAGCATGAACCAGGCCCATTCTGGTTCATGCTTAATTCATTTAGTTCATTCTCTCTTCTAAACTAAATTGTTAGGGTTTAGAGTAAGGAATCTCTAAATCAAACCACCATCAGTTAAACTCTGATGAGAAGGACAGACTTCTAGATTGATTCTGTTTTAATAGATTATTTAGGTGCACCAATTACAGCTCAAAATTACAGCTGGACAAGAGATAAAGGATTTAGTTCCTTGAGATCAGGATTAGAATTAGGGCTAAATTACCTGTTCCTAGGAACAGAAGTTCCAGTCCTAGATTCTGCTCAGGTGTTCTTTCTCAGCGGTGCAATTTACAAAGAGGAAGACAAAGGATTTTAAGTGGTTCCTATTAAGACAATTGGAAATCACTCCTACTGGCCCAACTATGAGATCACACAAGGTTCCCTCGGGGGATCCTAAGCTGCTATGGTGGGCTTCATCCTTCTGATCCCCCTGCTTGATTTTCTTTTCTCTTAAGCAGAGAGAAATGAGGAGCAGCTGGAAACTTCCTCCTCCCTCCTCCACTTATGAAATGAAGCAGACTGACACTGATTAATTCCTTAATTTCTTTAATCAACCAGAAATTAATGACTCTTGCTCTTCCTTCATTCCCTACAGATGAGAAAATTGCACGATGCTAAAGCAGATGAGATTAACCAGACAGCTACAAATTGTTTTTTGGGGAGGGGAGGGATATGGGGAGGGGGAGGGCAGGAGAAGGGAGGGAGGCCAGGAGAAGAGAGCAGAAGAAATACTTCATGACATAGTAATGGGGAGGTGAGGGTGCAATTGCAGGGCAGAATAGCTGCTCCAAGTGGCTAAGTCATTACCTGGAATAACTGGGGGAAGCTATACCTACTCTAACAACCATACTATGCACACAACATGTCACAAAAGATACTTGAGCATCTTTTGATAGCAGAGTTTCACGTCCCACAGGAGTAATTCTACAACAGTGAAAGCTGGATTTTGGCACACACGTTCTCCAAAGTGCTCTTACCAAACACTTGCCCCTATTGTGCTACCGAACCAACCTCCAAATAGGAGAAAGCAGAAGGCAGGTGTGTGTGTGGAGGTATAAATGAGCGTAAGAACTAAACAATGACTTCACACTCATCTGAACTACTCCTGCGTTATTGGGGAGAATCTCAAAAATATATACATATGCTAACCATCATACAGGCCACCTCATCCTGGACAGATGATGGTTTTTCCATAAGAAGTTTAAATACACCAAATGGAAAGAGGTCTATTGGGGATCTACTTCCTCTGAGGTCTACTGTATCCATCAATGTAAGTGAATTCCCCAATATCTAAGTAAGATGATCAAAAGAAAGCCACTGGGATGATCTGCAGGCTGCTTTGACAAAATTGGCTCTCAGAAGCCACAAGAAAAACAAAGACTCTAAGAGTCTGTAGCAGCAACAGAACACTGCATTGTACATTTGGGAGACAAGGTATGGAGAGATAGATACTTCATGATCCTTTTTGATTTGGTAGGATATTTTTTCAATGGTCTCCCTACATCCTTAGAAAGATTTTCCCAGAAAAATATGCATGACTTGATTAAATTTCTAAGAGAACATTTAGAAATGAGAGTGAAAATAATAATATGAGCATTTTGATTCCAATCAATGCTTGGATGATGTCTTACACTTTCTTTTACAGGTAGTTGTTGGTGAGATTAATGACCTAATTAATGGTTACAGTGTAATGAGCTGTTCATTAGTAATTTTCTATCATTTCTTGATGACTTGAAAAGCTTTTGGCCAACAGGCAAAGAGATAATATTACACAAAGACAAGTAGACCTTTGGATATCTGGAGCAGAAAAGTTTAGTGGCACTTGTCCAAATGAGCCACCAACTTTCAGGAATCAGGCAACAATTCTGCCAAAACTTAACTGGTGGATAAGACAGCTCTCTTTTAATTTGCCAAAGCTTTCTGTAATTCAGTGTTTAAGGTCAGTCATGAAGGTCAATCTACAAAATCCATTTGTTAAGGGATCTTTGCAGCTGGATTGCCTTGACATGAGACATTCAACAACCATCACATCCCAAATCAATAAAGCTTCCTTTGTGGTCTGCTACTGATCTGACAGGGAGATTAGATCCCTGGATCTGCCAATCTTGTCTTTCTAAATCTGCAGGACTATCTCAAGCAAATGATGAATTCTAGACCTACTTTAGGCATGAAAGCCAGCTAAGTGATTTTAGCTCAATCAGCAGGTGACAGTGAGTTCTAGTCCCATTTTAGGCATGGACATGGTCTGGATGATTTTGGGCCAATCACCAGATGCATTCTCATCCCATCTTAAACATATAAAACCAGCTGAGTGATTTCCGGCCAATCTCTTTCTCGACCAACTCACCCCACACAGTTGTTCTTCTGGGGAAAACAGTAAGGAATATTGGGATGTTTGCCACCTTGAGCTGTACTTTATATGAAAAAAACATGGGGTCAAGATCTTCTTGAAAACAGGTCCTCAATGATCAGCTGTGAAAGTTACTGAGAGGTTCAACAGGAGAGAGGAAAAAATGTCTTTAAAACGAGATTCATGAGGGAGTGAATGTGAGAGGGATAAGAGAAATAATGGACAAGGCTCTCTTTTTCTACACAACATCATCTCTTCAGCAAGGTTCCCCATCATCTTCATCCTTGGTGTCTCCACTGTGACTTCTTGGGAGTCCAGCATATCCACCTGAACACTCCTTTCGGCCCCCACTGAGAACTAAGCGGCCAGGTGGGCTTGCGGAGAAGTCTAGGGATTCACTGACACTGAAGATGTATTTCTCCCACAGGAAACGCTCCAGGTCAGGGTCAAATGCTGGCGAGTTGGAACCTCGAATGCTTCCCGTTGATGCCGTATATTTCTCAAAAATCTGCCGACGGTACTTGAACTCCAGAATAGTTTTGGTGTAAGTGTTGAGGGTCAGCACCGAGGCTGACATGCAGAGAGTGAAAGAGAGCCAGGCCAAGCTGTGGGGAGAACACCAGGAGAGGTGAGCAAAGGAGAAGAGAACAAGACTTGAATCCCTTGACCATTGGTACACTCACCGAGGGCTTCCTCAATTGTCCATCACCATTCCCAAACATTTATCCACCCACTCAGATGCACTACTTCATTCATCGACAAAGTTCCCTCATCTCCAGAATCTCAATATGAAGGCCAAGGTCAATGTCTCCTCTATTATAAATAAAACAGTAGCTTCGCCCCATGAATCTTAACTATGCTTAGTTGCAGAGGTGTCTGAGACAGTCACGACAACGCTTGTGATTGGGCAATTAAAGTCCCACCCTTTCTTGGCCCATGTAAAAGGAATGAGGATTCAGCCATTCTCTCATGGATGCCATCTTGATTTTTTTTTAACCCTCTGCCCGTGGACACCCACCTCTTGGTGTTTTAGAATCATTCTTCTTTTTCATGGTTGCCCTTTGCCAGTTTTACAAGTAAGAAAACCAGGCTTCTTGAGTTATTAGACAGCTTTCACTAAAATATATCTGGAGATTCGGGATTTTTATATTTTGTTGTTCTTGCTCATTCAGATTTACGCTCTTTGTTTTACTCTCCACTGTGCTATTGTCATCAAAAATGAGCAGACTATACGTTTTGGTAGATCAGATTCTTGTGCAGTTTATCACAGGGATTTAAAATCGGCCACCTCTTGGATAGTATAACCATCCCTGGACACCTCCAAATATCTTTCTTCCCCCCATTTTTCTACTTCGATTAAATCCTCTCTTTTCTTCCATCCTGACCTGGTCCAAAGAATCACAAGATGAGGTGGCAAACTCTAAAGGGGAAAAGATCCTCCACTAAGCTGGCTACTCACCCAAAGGACCATCCATAATACCATGTCTGGGGCCTCCAATCTTTTGGCCCCAGGCTTACAGCTACCTGAAAGACAGTCATGTACATCATGTGGGCCACCATGCCCAGGAGACCTGTGGAGAAGAAGAATGAATCTTATTTCATTCTCCAAGATAGTGACTGTGGATATAATATACTTAGATTTCAGCGAGGCATTCAACAAAGTAGACCACAACCTACTTTATGGTAAGCTAGAAAAAAGTTGGATAGATAGCACCATCACCAGATGGATTCACAACTGGCTGACAAACCATACTCAACGAGTAGTCCTTAATGGGTCTAAGACTACATGGAGGGAAGTAAGCAGTGGGGTGCCACAAGATTCTGTCTTAGGCCCAGTACTCTTCAATAACGACTTAGATGAGGGAATAGAAGGGGAACTTACCAAATTTACAGATGATATTAAGCTGACAGGAATAGCTAATACCCAAGAAGATAGTCTCAAGATCCAGATGGATCTTGACAGACTAGAACACTGGGCCATATCTAATAAAATGAAATTCAATATAGAGAAAAGTAAAGTCCTACACTTAGGCAAGAAAAACCAAAAAGTACACATATAGACTGGGTGAAACCAGGCTCAATAGCAGTAACTGTGTCTTGGAGCCTTAGTGGACAACCAGCTAAATATGAGCCAGCTGTGTGCAGCAGCAGCCAAAAAAGCTAATGCAATCCTAAGTTGCATTAACAGAGGGATACAGTCAAGATCAAGTGAAGTACTAATTTCCATTGCTAAGTAAGGCAATAGTAATAGCATTCAGACTTACATATTGTTTCACAGTGTTTTACTGTCCATCTCTAAGTGGTTTACAGAGTCAGTATATTGCCCCCAACAATCTGTGTCCTCATTTTACCAACCTTGGAAGAATGGAAGTCAACCTTCAGCTGGTGAGAATCAAATTCCAGAGTTAGCTGCAATACATCATTCTAACCACGGCACCACCATAGCTCACGTTTCAACAAGGCTCCGGGTTAAGTGAATCTCTAATTGTTAAATGAATCACACCTAATTTTACAACCCTCTTTTTTCTCCGCATTGGGCATTAATTAGGATTCCCTGAGTAGCTTGGCCACATTGCTAAGAATTCTGGGAGTTGAAATCTACCCCTCTGAAAATGGCCAAGATTGGGAAATCTACATTAGCCCTATCTCCGAGACATTTCTGTCTACATAGAATAAAGAGACGGACAGGAGAGCAAGTGGAAATACCTGACAAAACAGTGATCACAGCTGCGAAAGCGTTGATCTTGAGACCATCAATGAAGTTGGCATAGTAGATAGCATCTAAGCACATCAGCAAGAATCCAATACTCAACAGGATAATATAAAGAAATTCGGAAGCAACAGAGAGCCACAGCACTCCTGCAGGAAAAAGAAAGGGGTTATGGGGAAGAAAGAAGCTAAGCTGCTTTGCTACCAGGGAAGAAATTGATGGCAGTGACTAAATTATTCTGTTACCCCAGAGACCGACTGAAGCTTTCCCGCTGGCTCTGCTTATAAGATTCAAAAGCCCAGCTGGGATGGACTGAAAAAAACCGACAACCAAAACACCATTTGGAATGACTGGGTGCAGGGTGGGAGAAAAGACCTTAGTGGCCACAAGGCTTTTAAAAATCTCTTTGAGAAGGCAGCACTCAACTAGCAGAAAAATAACCTTTGCAGTACTCACGGAGTTTCTTCCCCCTCATTTTGCACTTTCATGAGTTGGCCTATTTTGCCATCCAAATTCTCACCTTGTTCTGACTCTGGAGGCAGCTCAATGAAACTCCGACACTTCTCCTCTGGCGAGAGGGGAACAGTGAGAGAAGACAATGACAGGTTAGCTACAGCTGCTGCTGAACGTGACAATGACTTCATGCCAATGTTTGTGATGCCCTCCTTCCCTGCCCCCAGGAAAAGGGGACCTTTTAGTCCCTGCTGCAGATAAGTGGCAGGTCGATCTGAGCTGATCTCAGCAAGAAAGGACACGAGATTGAGAAGACAAAGAGATAGAGCAAAGGAGGAAAAAAGAGTGCCATAGTCCAAATACCATTTTTTCCTCATCTACAGTAACTTTCCCCAATCCAAAACCCTCTAAATACATTGGATTTTTTTGACTCCCAGAATCCCTAGCCAACAAAATCCAGTGGAAGGCTTGGGAAGTTGGAGGGCATTTGGGCTACCTAAGGCTTAAACCATGACTTTAAAAGTTGTTTTGAAGTTTAAAGTTTTCCATTTCTCTAACTACACTCTAAATTCTGATTCACAAGGTCTGGCAACCTTGTCCAGCCTTGTCCCCTCTTATAATAATTGGGAAACTGTGGTGCTAAGTACATTTTCCATAATGCTTTGAAGGAAATGTTTTGGGATCTGTGCTGGGAAGTCAAGCTAGTGAACATGTCCGTCTTCGGACATTTCTCAAAAAAATGATGTTCTTTTCCAAAGAATTATCCAATAAAGGTAAAATTGGGTTCTACTTCCTCCCTTAAAATTGTATTTGGCTGGCTACAAGTAATCCTCAACTTATGACAGGACATTTAGCGCTGGCCAAAGCAATCATGAATCTACCTTGAAGCTACTTGCAACCTAGATTTGGAGTTTTGATTATCGTCCCCCAATCAAATGACCAAACTTCAGACCCTTGGCAGCTGGGATCCATTTACAGCCATTTGAGTGTCCAGTGGTCACAGGACTGCATTTTATGACAGTTATGCTTTTATTTCCAGTTTTTAGAAAAACCTTGCCCGTAGCGAGCTATTGGCTTGCTTTATGAATAGTGCATTTGCTTAATTGACTACTGCAAAAAGGGTATAACATTAAGTTTAATAGAATAGAATAACAGAGTTGGAAGGGACCTTGCAGGTCATCTAATCCAACCCCCATGCTGTTTCTGACAGATGGCTGTCTATTCTCTTCTTAAAGGTTTCCCATGATGAAGCACCCACAACTTCTGAAGGCAAAGCTGCTTCAGTGATTGGTAACTTACGACCATGATGGTCCGGTTCCATTATAGTTATAGGTTAAAGACTATCTCTACTGTGAATGGTTCTGAATAGTATGGCTTATTCACAGCTAATTTAACCTCCTTTTAATCTAGCAAACGTGTTTTTTGAGTTTGCACAACACACCAAACTATGAAACTGCCAGGTTTATTTAACATATTAGGCTTGAATGTTTCTGGATAGTTGCAGTTCAGTGTGCTATGCAAACGATGGCTCCCTTTTCCAAAACTGTACATTGATTTTGTGTAAATTAAACAAAATTAGAGAGAGTCTGTAGTACTCTAGAGAAGTTGTTTCAAATTGCAACCTGAACCTCTATGGCAACCTCTTCTTTCTGTTTGTGCCCTCATATGAGATGGTGTAACACAGCATTCCACAAGCTTTGTGGCTTGGTTGCCCGGCACAAACAGGAGAGGAGAAGGTGGTTCTGTGTGAGTGGCGGGCGTGCACATGCAAGTGCACACAGCTCCATTTGCACACTTATGCCATTTGCACGAGGGGAGTGTTTTGCGTGCGAAGGCAAGCGCCCACTGCTTGGGCAAGGGGAGCTTCATGCACACACATGCTCGCCTGTTGCTCGTGGGGCCCAGTTCCAAACAAACCACAGCCAGGTAATGGCTGTGGGTTGGGGACCCCTGGTGTAATGGGCTGTGAGAATAACCTTGAGGAACAGGAGGAAGAGCTGCAGCCAAAGCAACATTCAAATAAAAGGAATTTGAGTCCAAAGCAAGAATGTAATGTGAGAAAACAGTTCAGACCTGATCGTCCCTAGAATAATGACAGGGAGAGAAGGGGCCCATTCAGAGTTGCAAGACTCTGTTATTGTACCTATAACAAAAATAGTTCTTATATTCATGTCTTTAGTGTTCAAGTCTGGTCTGTCTCAAAGGCCTGACAGGATGGCCTTGGACTCTTTTTTTCCCTTAACACAACATAGGCTTTGTGATGGATCCAATCTTATACATATCACTAACCATACTATTCGAAGTGCAGGTAGGCCTCAATGAATGACCGGTTGCTTAGCAACTATTCAAAGTTATCATGGGCTTACCTGGAGCTACTTATGACCAAGTTTCAAAGTTCTGATGGCTGTACCCACATACCTTGTATTCACATGACCACATTTTGATGCTTGGCAATGAGTTCACAGTTGCAGAATCTCATAGCAACATGATCGTGATTTTCAGCAGGTTTTTAACCAGTTTCTGGCGTGCACTTTTAGTTTCTAGCAAAAGAAGCCCATTGGGGAAAACAAATCTACTTAACAATTGCCACACTCACTTAACGACTGTGGTGTTCCCTTAACAACCACAGCAAAAAAAAAAAATCCCGAAAATGGAAACAGAAATGAAACCAGAACTTTTCCATTTGGGGGGGATTAATGGAGAAAGAACTGGAGAGAAAAAATTGGAACTTTGCTACTATACATGTTGATAGCAGCAAGATTATTTTATGGACAAAAATGGAAAGACACTTCAATACCTATCATGGAAGAATGGATGTAGAAATTGACAGAGTTGGCTGAAATGGCAAAACTGATTAAAGAAAAGAACATAAGTACTTTTGTTTCCACATGGAAACCACTTCTGAATTTCGTGTTTGATGTGGAAAAGAATGTAATTTTGTCTTTGGGTTTTTATAGATTAGACTGGAAGATCTTTATAGAAATGACATTGTTATTATCATAGTAAAACAAAAAGCTGTGATTTAATGTTAATATCCTATTCTACTGCAACATAGAGAGTTGGAACTCAATGCTTCTTTTTCTATTCTTTTCCCTACCCTTCCTCACTTCTCTATCCCCATTTCCCTCCCCCTTCTCCACTCTTTTATTCAAGTTTGTATTTTATTATAACGTAATAAAAATGGTTGATTTCCTCCCCCCCCACCACCACCACAACCATGGCAAAAAAGATTGGACATGATCACTTGAGGACCCGCTTAATGACCACCATGGTCATAATTCCAAGTTTGATTCTGCATAAGCCAAGGACTACCTGCACAAGCAGGTGATTGCTAAGGGTTGTAATCAGCTCAGCACCTCAGTGTAGTCATGCCATCTTTTGTCGCTAGTCCATGAACATTGAAAGTTCCAAAATCTTTCCAATTTAGACAACAGCAGCATCTGGGTTCTTCCAACTTGGAAAGTTGGATCAGCCTGTATCGCCATCATCCAAATTGATGGCCGGGGTGTATCCACTAATCACTGACTTGTAACTCGCTCCACATTAGAACAATGAGGACAGTCCCTCTTAGGTGCTTATTAGTGAGGCAGAATACAGGTTTGCAATGAGGAGAACCCCATTTACGTGGCATACGCTCCTCCAGGGCTCATAGATTTGTGGAAAGCACGTTAACACAGCTGTTTGGCCATGTTTTGAGATACAGGAGGGAGGAAGCAGGTGCCAAGATTTGCAAACGTACAAAAAAAATGTTTTTGGGTGGGGAATGAAAAAACCCACCTCCAATTTTCACACAGAGGGTTGAGCATGCCACAAGGGCTTTGGTGGCATCCTTCCCTGCTTTGTTCAAGAGAAGAAACCATAGTGCTAGTACCCTTATTCTAACACTTCATTGGGGAAAAAAAAACCCTGTATGTAGCCAGATAGAGTTTTTTTTTTAAATTATCTGTTGCATTTATCTCATCCTTCCTCCCAAAAGCTCGGTGGGTTCTTACAAGTCTCTCCCACCCCACTTTCCGTTTTATATTCCAACAATCCAAAGTTATCAGATTGAGAAAGAATAATTGTGTAAGATAAAGTTTGCCCAAAGGCCTCACCAGGGTTTCTGAGGATATGAATATTAAGATTTCACTTTCTACTCTGCCATTTTATTATCATTGTTAGTTATACTTCATCACACAGAATAGGACAAGTTTCTGTCACTGGTAATTTAGAAAGAAGATCCCAGACAAAAGTAAAGGAGAAAGAGGTGAGAAGATCTGGCTGGGGGGAAAAAAACCCTCTGTGCTCTTACTTTTAGATTGGCCATATACTCTATTTGTAAAGGTCCTTTTATGCCTCCTTGAGGTTCTCCTACAACATTGTCTACATTGCTTATCTAGCTAATTCTTTCTCCCACCATTTCTTTCTTAGAAGCTCACCCCATGAAAACATGAAAGTCTAACTACAAATACAGTCATAGAATCAACTGCCCAGGGATGCGACCCTCTTTAATACCTCCATGATGTTCTTCACACGACAGCCAAAAACCCGTGTGGAAATACTGAAAAGCATACTTGTCTTCACCCGTCTCCCAAATGTATTGGACTTTGTGGGGATCCGCCGTCTCATTGGCATCCACAGTCCCATTGCTGTTGTTGGGTGCGCAGTTCCCTTTCTTGACCACGGAAAGGCAGGGTGATTTCACCACTTTGTGAGTCCCTTCACACCAATAGCTGGTGCTGAAAGCCGACACAGAAAAGCAGAGGGCAAGACAGTTGAGGCCCAAAGAAAGCATTGAGCGAACTCTTCGGCTTAATTGAATCATTGTTATAATTTCCCTAGAGCTACAGAAACAGACAAGGTTGGTCCTTGAAATCAAACCCAATTGTTCAAAGTCGCTCTAAGTGGTGGATCGATCAGACGTTTTCTAGATTTAGTGAATAATTCTGCAGAAGAGTCCGGTGGCAAATTGCTTCTCCAATTTTAAACCATTCCCTCTTCTTCATAAGCAAAGAGTGTTCAACAAAGCAATCACCTTAAAGAAAAATAAGCATGTCAGAACTTGGAGTTAGATCTGGTTACTTGAGGATAGGAACAGGAACCAAAGTTTTCCAAGGAACAAATGGAATCCAGGATCAGAAGGAAAAACATGGTTTGTGCTTACATTTCAAGGGATGTGGGCCAATGAGATTGAATGAGCAAATAAAGAGATGGGTACCATCAATCCTGGATGCTCCCTGATGACAGCTCCTAATGCGACTGAGCAAAAGATGCCATGCAGCTAATCCTTCACACCTTAATAGATTTCAGGGTGGTGTATGTGTTTGTGGTAAAAAAGATGGAAAAGGTAATAGGGGAAAATGGGTTATAAATGGAAGGTGACAAAAATTTGTGCTCGGCCCCCAAAAAAGTCTGATATAGCTTCTCAAGGTTTGTGGATATTATCAGCAAGATAAATGGATTGTGCTGAATACTTTAAAAAGATCTTTTTTTAAAAAACACCCTTCCTTTTGACTTGCCTTTTCTTCCTTTTTATTCCCCTGTTAATAAGAACAAAACCTTTCAATCTGAATAAAAAGCAGAGACAATCCTAAACCCTTTCTAATGTTGAAAGACCATCAGTGAATTTAAAGCGAATGCTGAAAGTCTTTTGGCATGCCACAGAATCTACACATCATTTCGGATGCTTTTCATCTCTTTTCTGTAACTAGCAAAGCCTCTTTTGAAGAGCTGAAGAAGCTTTCCCAATTATGGACATCTTTTTCCAACCTTCCATCACTCCCACCTGCCACCCATATAGTTACAAGGGGTTGATATAGTTTCGGAGATTGAAAAATCTCCCTCTTAGGCTGCAGTGATCAGCTTACTGGATGGTGACACGCCATACTAAATTTACATGCTAAAATTTATCTTCAGCTATTACAAAAAGTCCTAGAAGCTACCAGAGGCCTTACCTGACTCTAAAATGCTACCTTGGGGACCCCTGATCAGAAGCTAACACTCTTCAAGGTGAACAACTAGCCGTTCTTCCATGTCAATGAATGTCCCACCACATTTTCCTTTAGCCTCTAGAGTCTAGAGCCACAGTATGGGAACTAGGTAAAATATTAAGTTTTGGGAGAACCCAAGACTCCCCCCACCCAAATCCCAACTCATAAAATTTAGCTTCCTGGGCACTCCACAGTTTATTGTTCCTTACAGTGGAAAAGCCAAACCGAGAATTCTAGGATCTCCTAATTATTTCAAATGCCTCCCCCCACTTTCTTAAATCTCCCCTAGTTTGCTTCCCAGCAGTTCTGTTGGGCCCATCAGGCTTGCTAAAACTATTTAAAATTAGATGTTTGGGTGCAGCCTATGCAAAGCAAGGGAGTTGCTTGGCCTCTGCACCCACAACTCTGCCTCTCCTTGGGATGAAACAGCTCACAAGATGCCTCGTTGATCCTACTTTAAGAATTACTTCTCAGTCCTCGTCCTCTCCTGAATGAAGAAATTGTCTTTCTGAAATCCATGGCAGCTCCTTTATAGTTCTCTCCCACAAGGCTGCAAACTCTTCTTCTTTTAATTATTCATCACAATTACAAGCCACAAGCCTGCAGCGGGCTGTGTCAAATCTTTGGATCTCTGCCCGTTCAAACTGTTGCCCAGAAGGAATGTCAAAAATCCAGTGTTCGTGCTGAAGAATAATGGAAACACAAACGCAGGAAGAGAGGAAATCTGTATCTGAAGGAGTGGCACTCTGTCAGAATGATCCAGGACTTCACAACCCAAAAAAGAAGCAATTTGAACCAAGTGGATTAGACTCTTTATTGCTTGGGGGAGCTGAAAGGCTGGATTGCAAAGAGTCCAAAATATCGCCCATTAACAACAGCTCACAATACCACTTAAACTACCAGTCACAGATATCCCCATTTGAAGAAAATATTGGATGTTCAAAATCCGGGAAATCTTGATTCCCCTTCTTTAACAGATCCAAAAGAAGGTTCCTCAAGAGGTGATCCCAAACACAAGTATCATGGGTGTGACTCAAGATCCCACAGTTGATGGATGGAGACTAATCCTGGAACATTTGACCAAATCACTCTTGGACCATCACGCCAACAGAGGAAAGGAAGGTCTGTCCTCTTTAAAAAGCAGAAAGGAAAAGGTATTCAGCTGGTGCTGATAGATAACGATGCAAGGATCTTCAGCAGAGGGATAGATTCAAAGAGCAAGTCTCAGGGGTTCACCCTGCACCTTGTAAAAAACGCTTCTCAGCTGCTGCTCTACACCGGCTGAGCTGACTGGAGAGGTGGCACAAGCGGGGTGATAAATGAGCAGGCAGTAAGAGCTTCAGCACCCTCCAGTGCGACACAGTCCCTGGGGCATAGGAATCAGCAAAGAAGTGGAGCAGCAGCTGATTAAAAAAAAAAAAAACCACACACATACACACAACTTCATTAGTGCCAAGGGGGTACCGGTGCCAAGATTGAGGGATTAGCATCTAATAAAGGAGAGGGGAGAGGAAGACAGAGCATTACAGAACCCGCTTTTTAATTCTGCATTCGATCAGCTGGCTCTTTGAAAAGGATGAAAAATTGGATGCCGAGATGAAGGAGCAGCTGGGTCAAAGGTGGCAGATGGACTGAACGAGGGGGAAAGGAGGGCAGGGAAAAAGAGAGGGGTGGAGGAGAAGAATAGGGGCCGGCATGATCATGGAAGACCTGTCGGTAGAAGAGTGAGCTGGTGAACTGGGATGATCAGTGACACAGAAGGATTATTATAATATGAGTGAAAGATTTCCACCAAACAGCATTTGGGGGTTGAAAACATTACTGCAGTCTGATGTTTAGGGAACAAAGGATTACAGCAAATGTACACAAGCATTATTGCCTTTTGTATTTTTCCTTTTGGCTGTCCTTGTTCCCCATTTAAAATGTCAGCTCTTGTTTAGCAAGCATGAATACATACGGAAGGCTAGTCAATATAGAGAACGAGCACTGAGATAGATAAGGGAATATTTGTCCCACAGCTCAGAGCTGGAGGGGAGGGAATCGATCCATACATAAACAAGAGTGAATAGATTGGCCAATATGTCAGTCTAAAAAATGATATGTATCATATTCTATGTGTATTTCACTGCCCAGCAAGTTCTGGGTCTTCCTTATGAGATACTTAGTCTTTATCTTGGGTTTCTTGGGATTATCATCTGGCTGGCTATAAAGAAATTGCTTTTGTGCGTCCCATTTTCAATAAGAACAACATTAGGAAATCAAAGCTGGCATAGACTTAAACACAGGAAAGTAATTAGAGCAGAGAAGATCTAATCGGGTGGGCTGGCAGTCAGAAGAAATAAGAGCGATGCAAGCTAAGTGGAGGACAGTTGGGAAATGGAAAATGTATAGGTGTGGCAGGGTACAATGGGAATAGTCCATCTTAGGACACACACACACACACACACACAAGTCTCAAACAAGGCTTCATTCAGTTCCTAAATATTTCTATAACCCCCCCCCCCCCCAAGCTGCCTCTGACATCACTGTCAACCTTTGGTGGCATGAATTCTTGCCATTTTGCGCTAGAAAATATGCATACAAAAATAAGACAAGCTTTAAAATAGACTCAACACAATATAGAAAACAAAGACACACTCCCCACTCCCCAATTCCCTTCCAAAATCCAAGTAAAGACAAAAGTGGACTTGGTTTGCTTTTGGCACCCCACAAAATGTTATTCCACATCTTTCATCAAAAAATTTTCCATTCCCAAATTCAGACTATAAGGGAATTAAAGGCATCTCAGCAATCTGTTTTCTAGTAGGGGTTTAGAAACCGGTCACATCCCCCGTGGCAGCCATGTTGTTTCTGAACAAATTTATTTACAGTAATACCTCAGTACTCAACTGCTTTGAAACTCATCAAATTTGATACTCAATGCATTTGATGTGGAAATTTTGTCCCGGTACTTATTGTTTGTTTGGTATGGCGCACAAGCTAGAACTTGTTGGTGTCAGTTGCCTCATGTTTCACTACCTCAGGGGTCTTCAAACTTGACAGCTTTAAGACTTGTGGACTTCAACTCCCAGAATTCCTCCTCCAGTCATGTTAGCTCAGGAATTCTGGGAGTTGAAGTCCACAAGTCTTAAACTTGCCAAGTTTGAAGACCCTTGCACTACCCTTTTCAGCTGAAACAAAGAGTGACACATTAGTCACGTGAATTGTTTGCTACTTGTTTTTTTTTAATACTCGGCACACCTCCTGAAACCAATTAATTATGGATATCAAGGTCCCACTGTATTTATTTTCATTAAATTTATCTGCCGCCTTACTCACCATGGGACTAACTCTAGTGGTTTTTGCCTCTTCGGTGACAGCTATTTGAGGAAAATGCCCACAACCCAACTTTCAAAATTCAGAGTATTATACCTGACCCCAAACTGGGTAGGTGCAGGCTGATACATCTCAGTATTTTAATTTAAAAATCTAAGCACTCCGTGTAATATAAAGCCTGTTCATCCCATAAGTCCCTTTGGAACCAATTGGATTCAAGCTGCTGTACCAGAAGAGATTTATCTAGCCTAATCTCCTATAATTACAAGCAGTCCCTGAGATAAGAACGTCCAACTTAAGGACAACTCTAGATATGAACAGGGTGCCTATTACTAAAAATGGCAGATGGCGTTCTCCTTCCTTGAGTCAACAAACCATGGAAGCCATGCAGTGTGTTCAGAAATTGCTGAAGCCGCACATTTTTAATACACAGCCTGTTTGCAGCCATTCCTGAAAGCATTGTGCAGCTGCAGCGGTTCATTGGTTCGAGGAAGGACAATGTCATCCACCATTTTTAGTAATAGGCAGTCCGTTTCATAAGCACC